GCTCCTCCCACACCTCGCTGCTGCCGCTGCTTGTTCTGGTCTGAACACAAGTGCGTTCAGTCTGAACATAGAGCGTCCAGTGAGAGACGTTTTGCGCTTTTTGGCCGCTCAAAACGCGTTTGGTGTGAACGCAGCATAATGTTACAACTAATCATGGATCCCATTTATTTGCTGAAAATGCTCTTTCTTCTGTTTTTGATGGACTACTTAGTTCTTTTGTTTCCCCTGTCCCAACTTTTTTGAGATGTATTGTTTACACCAAACGCAAAATTATCCTATTTTTTCTAAAATTGTTGTAATTTCTTAGTTAATACATTGGATGTGCTTACTATAATTTATTGTTCTATTCCATTTTATTTTATTTACATTTTCCATATCCAAACTTTTCAGTATAGAGATTGTAATGTCTATTTCTATTTGCACAGCTTATCAATGCGTTTAAATGAGGATGATTGACATTTATGTTGTTACTTTTGGGCATTAAGCCAGTATTTATGTTCAGCCAGTCAGCAGTCAGGAAAAAAAAATACTGACTCAGCTTTAAGTTCATCGGTCAATAATAATAAAAAGGAAAACATAAAAAGAAAAACTGCCAGGATCACAAAGACAAAGCAGCAATACTATTCCCAAGCCTACAGTTCTGGTAGCCCAGGTTATAGACAGTGAACAGAGACAACACACAGCCAGTTCCCTGTGACGCACCGGTTTGATGTCTCGATGCAGGAAGCCCACAGAGTGGATGCTCTCTATGGCTTCCAGGATCTGGCGCCCCAGACGCAGGGTGGTATTAATGCTGAATGTTCCTCGAGGCATGCTTCTCCTCAGGTCCGCCAAGTTTCGGCCCTAAAGGTCACACGCAAAAACCAAATGTTAGTCAAGTCTTCCTTCAGAGCATCCACTCTTGACTGACAGCAAGACATGCTGAGTTAGCAGAAAATAAGTTATTCGGCAGCTTTATTTAAACAAATGAAGCATAAAATATTTTTATCTGCATGATGCACTCAAGTTCGTAGTAAATGGATCGTCAAATAAATTATTCACAAGTAGACTTTCCTGAAACATTTATTTGGATCGGTTTCTCGTAAACAACACCAATACATGAGCAACATGTTTATAGGGAGAGATGCACCACGTGTCTGCGCAAAGTCAAACCAAAGTCTGAACCAGGACTCATAACAGTCTGACACTGCAGAGTGTTCAAAGAGCTGCTTTCTTAAAAGATTACCAGGGTTCGACAAATCCTGTTGCCCGACTGCCCGGGGCAGGTAAAACCCATTGTCGGGCAGGTGGGTGTGTCTCAATGCCTGCCCGACCGGGCAGGTAAACAATTTCTTTTATTTTTTTATAGGGCCATTTATTCAAAATATTCTGAAAATAAATGAAGAAATATGGCATTTTAAAACACGTAAAGAGAGAATAAATCGTTAAAATGTCCCCCTCCCGCTGTAGAAAAGTTACATCATGCCGTTGTGTCGCAGGATCACAAGTTCCTCCCTCCTTATTGCAAGCCGTTGGGGTCATAAATCGGGCGTATATTTACGTGCAAATCCTAACGTGCGGTGCGTATATTTACGTGCAAATCCTAACGCGCGGTGACGTAAATAACGTGCGAACGCGCGGTGGCCCCACGCGCGGTGCCGTAAATAACGTGAGAATGCGCGGTGGCATTACACGCGAACGCGCGGTGGGTTAGGGTTAGGTTAGAAAACGCCACCGCACGTTATTTAACGCCACCGCGCGTTCGCACGTTATTTACGGCACCGCGCGTTAGGATTTGCACGTAAATATACGCCCGATTTATGACCCCAACGGCTTGCCATACCTCCTTCCTGCTGCACATCGCGCAGAGAGAAAGTTTAACAACCACAGCTTTTTTCACACCCATGTTTTCTGAGAAAAATTAAATGTTTTCTTACGTATTGTTACCCACAGAGATGAAAAAAATATGTGGACGTTCGTTCAGTCATAAATCCATCTTGCTAATGTTGGCTTCTGCTCTGATGAAGATGATGATGAAGATGTGAAGGCAGCAGCAGCGGTTCAGAAGCTCAAAGTATGGCAGGCCGATTTATCATTTTTTTGGCTTCACCACACATATTCTAGTTATCTGAAATTGTTTTATGAGATTATGTTTTATGTTTTAAGAAAATCCATCTGGATAACAGCAGACTGACTGCTCGTAAAATATACGACAGGTCTGGACCACTCCTGAATTTTGTTCGTATCTGAAGAAAATCTTAGAATACGAAAACATTGGTGAATGCCACAAATTCCCCTAAATCACTCGTACGCACAACTTAAGAACAAATCTGTGCGTACGAACGGTTCTTGCATGAGGCTCAATCTTATTAGGATTCAAAATCTCTTCTGCAAGGCGTTCTGGCAAAAATAGCAGCGTAACAACATGAGCTGTACTGGGACTGACCTGAAGTTCCATCACCACGTAGTTAAAGCGTTCGTTGCGGCCACATCCCACAAAGCGACACACATGGTCTTTTCCTAGGAGATGGAGGGCAAAAATTTTGTCAAGATAAACTCGCAGGACAGAATGACACCCTGCCTGAGCACCCTTCAATCACAAGACAGGCAGTTCATCTGAGTCATGATGATGTGTGAGTCTCTAGTCTGCCTTCCCATCACCCCTCTTTTTGATTTATTAGCTATAGTCTACAACAGCAGGTCAACACGTGTGCACAAATGTCCTGTGTGCATGTCAGCAAGTGAAAACATGCAGGCTCTAGGTCTCTGAGGACACTGCTGCATTGGCAAGTTGACTGGAGCCTCAGCCCAAAGCCTTTAGCACAAACAGCTGCAAGATTTCTGTAATAAAAAACATCATTAATGTGTGTACTTCTAGGGATGGAGGGTAAAATCTATTTTTAGATTAGTCGTACTGCGGACATGGACGTTTCTGAGTCGCTTTTCAAATGTCAAAAATCAATTTTGTTCATGTTAATCTGTGTTTACACTAAAGTGTGGCAGTTTTCTGGTCACTATCTCCACAAAGGTCCGAAAATAAGCCACTGTCCCCTTTTGCTTTGCTGTAAGCACTACCTAATGTCCAGTAAAACAAATTTGTATTGTTTCAAGTGTTTTGTTCTTTTTTTTTCAATAAAATAAGACTGGAATATTGAAGGTGTATTGTGACCTTATAACACCTGACAGTGTCAGTTTCAAAAAATTGGTACCGGCCAAAATCGGAACTGGCAGGTCAGACTTTGTAAAGATCAGTGATCGATGATAAGCCAGAAAACTGTAATCAGTGCACGCTTACAAAGGAGATGTCCATTACACATTTATCGAATTACTCAGCTGAGTTCTGCTCCGGGCCTCTTTTGCTTCAGCACAGCTTGTTTCATTTCTGAAGTCACGTCTGTGACTCAGGACTCACTCAGGATGAGGCCAGCTCAAACTGTGGTTTTTAAATGGCCAGAGAGAGCATAAAGACAGACTGGTCTGTGTGACCATTTTGTGGAACTGCTTTATGAAAAAGCCCAAACATTTGTGTTACAACATGGATTATTGGTTGAGAAAATAACTAAAAACTAATCAAATGGTGTTATTCAAATGCGTCAGCCTGAAAAACAATATAAAACAAGTTTTTGTTTGACTAGTCATTAGCGTAGCTAAAGACTCTGCTTTTTCTCCTTTCTCTGTGCTCTGTGGTCAATGAGGTAGCAATTATTATTCATAACTTTTTAAAAGAACTGTTCTGTCAGAACATCACTTCAAAAATTACAAGACTATCCTTTTAAAGGACACATATCAGTCAGGGTCTAAATAAAATGGAATTGAAATGCTTATTGTAATTCCACAAGCCCCTTTTTCTGAGGTATGTCTCAGAGCAACTCATAATGATGCCGTCTCTTTAAACCCAAACAAGGTGCTTCACACCTGCCCCCACTCCAGCTTCCAGAGTGGTCCATTGCACTTTGAAAGAGGGGTTGCTGTGCAGTGCTGTTTTAACAAAATAAAAAGATTGGTTTTAAAATTTAAAAAAAATGTATTTATAGCACATTTTAGCCTGGGCTACATATAAACCAGTGTTTATTAATGTAAAGTAAACCATAATCATGTAAGATCATAAAAATGCATCAATAATTGGTTAATAGTAACAATGAAGCCCTCAGAATTAGAATATAATCATGGCTTAAAGATTCCCACCCCTAATATTTTCTGCTGCCATCAACTTCTTATATAAGCCATTGGTGCAATGAGAATAATACAATCTAATAGTCTTCACACGAGGGGTTAATGTTTACTTTTGACAACCAGGCAGGTCAGCAATATTTTGGGGGGGCTGGAGTTCACTTCATCTCAAGTTACATGCTGGCTCCCTCAGGATGCAAGAGAATCATGGTGCCTCAGGCCAAAGCCATTAGACAGCAAACATGATCCCAGGCTATTGATTTTATTCTCAGATGGCCATGGAAAAAAACACTGTGGCGGTTTAAAAGGCAGGAAAGAAGCAGAGAGGAAGGGAAAAAAATGTGGTCAAAAAAAAAAAAAGAAAGCAACACAAATCTCCTGATGGAGTTCCCTTGTGTCGATGCCATTTCTCGTAGAAGCACTTCTGGTGCTGACGTTTGAAACCTTCAAAATTAAAGTATGAAATGTGTAAACTATACATACAATAGCAGAGATGTTTAGCTTTGTCTAGACTAAAACTTAATGTGCTGAATCCTTCACTAAATTAGGTTTTGTGTTGCAACATGATGTTTATCTGGACTCAGAAGAACTCACTATCAGGCTGTTTTCTACTACTGCTGACATTTCGAGGGCTGCCAGAGAAACTCAAAGGAAAGGTTATTCTTCTCCTCAGCATTCGTCCTATGATATATTGGATGAGATACATATATTTGGAAGGATTCAATAGGTCACTGTGTCATAGAGGATCGATCTTTTCGAGTAACCGAATCCAGTGAATCCATTTGTACTCACCCTGCAGCTTCTTCAGGACCGCGACCTCCATCTTCAGAACCTGTTTGGGCTGCTGGGCTGATTCCACTTTCAGCGCCACACTGACCCGCGTCAGCAGGTCCAGAGCCTCGTAGATCTCTCCAAACCCACCGCCCCCGATCTTTTTCACCTGGGGAAAAATGAGTCACTGTGTAAGGACTTAAGACAGGCAAAACAAACACCACATTTACATTTTAATACTTAAGGCTTGTAGGAATGAAACAGGAGGCAATGAAAATACCCAATATCCCCTGAGGGAGAGAAACAAGGCACAACTAATGAGTATGGAGGTTTGCACCCTCGCCAGACCATTTTAAAGACATTTCTTCAACACGCCTGCCAAGGCCAAGGACACTGCTGCATACCCAGGAGGCACCGCCCTCTTGGGGTTATAAATATGCTGTATTGTGTCATTCCCTTAATCTGAGTTACACTTTTCTGAGCTCTGGGGAGTAGAGGGGCTGAGTTGTGTTGTACTATGTTTTCCTACCTCATAGCCTCCAGTTCCCTTCCAGTCTGTACAACACAAGTATAAGGGCCTACAATCACACCCCAAAATCTCATATAGAGAGATTAGGATTACTGTACATAACCCTGACAAGCCAATAAGTCATGTTCATCACATCCCTGCTGAGAAAACAGATTCAGTGACATCACGAGCTGTCACATCCAAGCAGTATAGTCTAAGGAACATTTCAGAACTATCAGCTGTAGGGATGGCGTGATTTATGATTCAATCGTCTATCTGCGATTCAAGGGCTGGAATGTGATTTGTTTTTTTTTAAGGGTGATCTTTATTAATTAATTAAATGCCATGCCAGGGACGTAAAATAAATTTTAAATGTGCCCTTCTCTGTGAATTAAAATGTTTTAATCATCATTGTAATCTGTGCAAATGAGGGAATAAAATAACAGTGCCGCGTCTCTGTTTTTTTCTTCCTTTTTTTTTCTCGGAGTCGGAGCCAACGTGCGCAGCTCCTCTTCACGTCTCTCCTCGTCATCTTCTTGCTTTGGTGCGCCACATATGACCCAAATAGTGTACAACTGTACAATAATAAACGTTTAGTTACAAAACTAATAATCCATGACAATCATACATTCGAACAAATATTTTTAACCAGTTCCAAACCGGACCGGAGTGCAGTCCCTCACCCCTCCTCATCCCCGTCACTCTGGGCTCTGGTGTGTGTGCGGGTCGAACTTTTCACCCCCCTCCACATAAGAACACATACGAACTATATGGTATGATTGGTCAGAAGTTTGTGGGAGTGTTTGTTTGTGCTAAAAGTGTGCTCAGACGCTGCGTTTGCTTCAACCACTCGCTTAAAAAAAGGAGAGAGAGAAAAGAGTGACACGTTCGAACGCCGACTACCTACCAGGAAGCAGCGATTTATAAGTCAAATGGCCAAAACCTCATAAAAGGGGATAAAATCGACTATTTTCATGATGAAATCTGACTGATAAAAACTTTTGAGCTTAATCCTGGACCAGTTTGTGGACAAACAACGTCGAGTGACGAGTGTCAGACTTTTTCTTTCCACATTGGATTCCCTCCGGGTAGAAATGCCCTGTAGTGATGTATGCAGCAGCGGGCAGGGGGGTTTCCCAGGAGCTTGGCGCGGGGGTCTCAGGAACTACGAAAGGTATATGCGAACAAGAACGCCGAATAAATACAGAATTTACATGTGATTTTAGAAAAAAAGAAGCCGTTGCTTATAATAAGCAGAACTGCTTGCTTTTTTTTAAACAACGTAACTACGCATGTCTTATCAGCCGATTGGATCGTCTATTGGCGATAGCCAGTGACCATGATTTATGATCTGAAAATAGGGACGATTTCCGATTCCTAATCAGCTGGCAACAGAATATACAGTATGTCTGCCACTGTGATTCCCAAATAATGCCCACAAGGTGGCCATATCTCTCGTCAAGGCATGTGTACACTGCTGGGTGCACACTCACCTTTGTTGGAGTAAGCACAAGAAATGGCTTCAACAACACAGTGAGAACAATACTGTTTAGACAGAGCTCTTCCTACTACAAGGAGTGTGAAGCACACGTGTGTGAGCTCTGGCTCAGTGAGGTGAATCCAATAATAATTCATCCAGGTAGTTCAGGGTTCAGATGCCTTGATTCCTAATTGGCTTTTGTTAACATTCAAGGAGCCAGAGATAAGATATGATATTAGACAGAGTCCTCTGGTTTTTTTTTTAGTGGGGTGGGATCACAAAGTGGGACTATTAACACCCTGTTGGCCTCCTGTAAAGGGGGGATTTTAATTGCACCCTTTCCTGGTAGTGAGTGGATCTGTTCTGTCAGTAAATAGAAACAAATGTCAGCTGCACATCTGACAAGGTGGCGCCTCTGAATGGTGGTGGATCCATCTGCTTTGGTAGGTTTCTCCACTGCAACATAGCGTTGTCCTCGATCTCCTCATATTCCAAATCAACGGCTGGCTCGAGAGCCTCGGACAACATGGGGCTTCAGATTACCGGTAATACAATTTTACATTAACAAGCTAAATGACAGCTGTGTTAGCCAATCAAACTCCCATGTTAGCTAAGCTAAACAATGGTGAGGAAAGTTTGCCGGTTAGCAAGCTAAAAAGGCGAGATTGATAGCAAAGCAAAAACTGCTAGTTAGCTGTGCTAAACAGGGTGAAAAAAGTTAGCAAGTTAAAGGAGCAGACAACAGGATCAAGCCTTGCAGTTGTGCCCCGGTCAAGGAGCAAGCTGAGCTCTAGTCAGGCAGTTAGGCCACATACAAGGGACCTGCACTCAGGTTGAAGTGAGGCAACACAAAAAGATAAAAAGAATGAGATCATGTAGCATATTTATAATCCCAGGAGGTGGGGCCTTTCGGGTTTGCAGCAGTCTCAACAGTCTTGGCAGGTGTGTTGAAAGAACTGTCTATGAAGCAAAGATGGACAGAAATTCATCAGTCTGGGAAAAACTGTATCTAAGTATAGTGGAACAATTTCAGAATAAAGTTCTTCAATAGATAATTGGGAATAAATGTAATATCCCAACATCTACAGCAGTGTTTCCCAAAGTTGGGGTCGGGACCCAAAGTGGGGTCCCGAAACATCAAGGTGGGGTCCTAAAAATATTTTCTGAATTAATGACATTTTTGCCTTAGTTTTTACAAAGGAGTGAGGTTAGTATATTTAAAATGGATAAATGTAGTATAAAATATTGTTATTATGTCCAAGTTTTATTGACCTGATAAAAATGTTTATCATCCAAAAATAGTTGGGGGCACAGGTCTCTGCTACTGTTATTTTGTGGGTCAAAAGCTGAAAAGTTTGGGAACCACTGCACTTTGGTTCCCAAAGTTGGACTTGGGACCCAATTATGGGTCATGAAGCACCTTGGATAATCTCCAGAAATCAATTTAAAGGCTAATAAAATAATTGCTGATGTAATATTTTTGCCATAACTATTACAAAAACACCAAATAAGTATAAATAAGTATTTATATTTGTGTACAAGCTGTTTAGATTGTCAAAAAACTTGTGTTTTAGGGTTATTAATGGACTTTGTGTACTCAGACGAGTAATATTTGGGGTCACAAGTTTTTGCCATGGATACTTTGTGGGTCAGAAGATAAAAAGTTTGGGAACCACTGATCTACAATTCATAATAGCCTCAAAAGGTTTCAGGATTTGAGAGAAATCCCAGTGTGCAAAGAACAAGGCTTGAAAGTCAGTCCTGGATGCCAGCATTTTTCTGATTCTGGATATCAATCCACAAATCAGTTTGTAAATACAGTTCACCATGTGATTCATTAAAGTTGGCTAAAGCTCTATCATGCAAAAGAAGACGTTCATAAACACGATCCAGAAATGCTGCCATCTTCCCAGGGGCAAAGCTCATTTAGAAAGATCTGAGGTGAAGTAAAAAACTGCTCTGTGTTCGCACAGATGAACATTTTTAATCCTTTTTAGAAACCACAAATGTCACGTCCTTCATACTGAAGAGGAGCGGGACCTGTTATCAACACACTGTTCATGGGGGATGTGATGGGGATTAAATTAGTGCACGTGGCATAGGCAGCTTATTAATCTGGAAAGGCACAATCAATGCAGATAAGTACAGGTTTTTAAACACTCATCCAGACGTCTTTTTCAGAGAATCGTTTGCAAATTTCAAACCAATATTGAGCCACATGGTCAAGCCGCATCCATTACAACAGATAGTTTTCTATTAAAAACATAAATACAAAATGTAAACAAGAACATTGTGAATACTCATTCAATTTAGAAAAACTAAAATTAGGTATGGTATAAACTGAGAGTGGTCCTGAACACATACTTTATGCAAGATTTCATAATTTCCCACGAGATATCTTTGGCGAGTGATATGCATTCCTTCAATGAATGCTAGGCCTTAAAACTAATAACCTCATTAGTTCAGCCTCAAATTTATTTTAATACAACTATTGTTCTGATAAAATCTTGGAGCGTTTGCACCCTGTTCTCATACCAACATTTATCTACCAAGTTCAGGTTTACTTTATGCCACAACTGCATGACCTTTCGACTCTGACCACTTAGTGTTCCTTCACAGGCCTGCATGCCCAGAACCCAAGAAAGTGTGTTTAGCTGCAGCGTTCTTATGTAACTCAGCTCCTCAGGAAACAGGAAGTGGTGCCCGGCTGCCAACAGCCTCGCGAAGCACAGAATCAGACCCAGCAGTGACAGCCCTGAGGGGACTCTGTAGCACACTGCACTGCTAAGATTAGCAGTATAGGCCATTTTTAGATTTTCCACACTGCAGCAGCACAACCTGGACGAAAAACAAAATGCAACACCAAAAAGTCTATTAAAGACTGCATTTCTTAAAGGTCTGCATGTCACTTTCCACCATTCATGCCAGCGTTTAGGACTAAAATCAATTACTGATGAGAAGGAATGGAGTAGGGCTGCACAATCTATCACGACTATATCGTCAGTGCAATATCAGTGTGCACAATATTCATATCACAAACGACTGCTTGGAGTGCAGTAATTGACTAGTGTATTTGAGGAGTTTTTAAGTATTTTTCATGCTGATGTAATATTTAGCCAGTAGGGCAGTGTCACAGTAGACACAAATTGCCAAAAATGCTAAAGGTCACACAGAGTAGGAAGTACAGATTAGAAAGTGAGGAAAGGAAAAAAGACACACTATAGTTGCTTGTTTTGCACAAACTCATGCAATTTTGTGAGATATCCTGTCAGTGGTAAAGTATATGTGTTGAGAATGACTCTCAGCTACAACCACATCAAACTTCAGCTCAATATTGTAAAAGAATTATTGAATTTTATCTATTTTTGTGTTTTTAATGTTCAATTTGTTTTGGCGGCCACCTTGAATTGTATTGACTCCAAAGATTCAGCTGCAGGTGCTCCAAGGATTGCTTTTCAGAGTTTCGTTAAAATTCATCCATTGGTTCATGGGATACTTTGCTAATAAGTTTTACTAAAACAGTTAATCTAAAAGTTTTAAAATAAGATCTTGCTTTTAAGGAGTACTTGGAGTAATTGTTCCACATGACTCAGCTACTAACACACTGAACATTTACTCTCTATTTGTAAAACTCAGCGTTGTAGCCATTTATGTGCTGCCTAACGTTGATTAGTTGTGGCAGCCATCTTGAATTGGGTTGACTTTAAAAGTTAATAAGTTGTTCATGTACCTCCAATTACTTTTAGAGAGTTACAGTCAAATCTGTTCAATGTGTTTTTTTTTTATTTATCTAATAGAATCTCTGGGTTGACTCCAGTTGTTAATGAAAAAGTTTTAAAAACAGATCAGTTATTCTCAAAGTTCTGAGTATCAGTCTCTGCTACTAACGCACCAAATTTTAGCTCCATACTGTATCTGTAAAGCTGGCAGAGTTGTAGCCATTTTGCATTTGCTGGAAACTCATGAGATGTTTTGCTTAAACTACAGACAAATGAACACAAAGGCAGAGACAAGCAAAAACATTATCATCCTTGGATGTTTGGTGGCAGGCGATTACAAAGATGTATTGTTAGCGGAACAGAGGGTTAGCAAGGGGACAGGCGGTGACGGGGCTGGAAGGACGAACACTTACAACTTTCCATCGTTCCTTCACTAGGGAGAGAACACTGAGGATGTCAGCCTGCTCCGCTCCCCCGCTCATCCCGTCTGCGGGCCGGGGAAGCTGTCCTCACTGCTTCTGGAAGATCAGCAGCCTCACGCTTAGCCGGACATTTGGAAGTTGTTGGAGAACCCTACAAAAGTTCAAAAGAGACACAAATTAATCGAGACTGGTTTAATTTATTAATATTGTGCAACATGTTGTGCTCAAATTATGTGTTTAAGACAGGGGTGCCCAAACATTTTCCCCAAGAGGGCCAAAATGAAAATCTATCCGGGGCTGCGGGCCAAATGTGATAATATAATACATATACAAGTTCTTTTTAATTAAACTCCATTGTTTTTAATGATAAAGCTAGCAGCCAGTGCGGTGGCCTGCTTTTGTTTTAGTCTGTGCACTTGGAGAAAGTCTGCCATACTCTCAAGCAGCAAAGGCTCATGGGACATTTCATAAATTGATAAAATATGAGTTTTGTGGCCTTATACAGTGTACAAATCTACATGTGGGGTTAAATCTAAGATAAATATATATTTTGTTGCATGTATTTCATGTTTGATGTTTAATCCTATTGTATCAAAGACAAAGTCAACCCCATGAGTGAAAACTCTGCACTACAGCCTCTTAGAGTCACTGGACCAATGGATAAAGGATAACTTTAAGTGGAAATACAGTTACTTCAACTTCAAAAAGCTTGTCCTAAAAGGGAAATTCAGTTCACAGCTCTCTGGTCAACATGACACGACATGACAGCAATGCATTCTCATACAATCTTATACAATCATTTCAGCATCAGGAAAAGAAAGAGAAAAAAAACATGTATAATAAGGAATGATTACTTGCTACATAGTACAACAGGTTGCAACCTGCAAACTATGGCAACTGCTGGTGGGTCAACTCAAATGGCAGAGGGCCAAATTTGGCCCGCGGGCCCTACTTTGGGCTCCTCTGGTTTAAGCCAATGCCCAGCTATTACCACATAAAATTTTAGCTCAATATCTGTAATCCTGGCTGAGTTTTATGTTTGTGTTTTCTGAGGTCGGTTAGCTGTGGCTGGCAGCCATCTTGAATTTGGGTTGAGTCCAAAAGTTAATCAATTGTAGATGTCAACCTAATGTTAACTTTCTAAATGTTTCTTTAAAATCTGTTCAGTCTTGCACAAGATATTTTTCTAACAGACAAAAACAGACAATTTCAATAAAAAATGGCAAATTTTAAAACAAACATTTTGTGTGAGCAGTTAAATAACAGACACAGATAAAAACACTATTGCTTCTTTCCCCTTCTCAGTTGGGTGATGAAAACAAAACTGTGACGAATGAGATCAAAGTATCGCCCTAGTGGCCGGGACTTTCTGATGGCCACCATCGCAGCAGCTGCCACACCTGCTGCCAGCAGCTGCCTTTCTAGACAAGCTCAGCAACAACAGTCAGACATCTTAAATTACAAAAAACTTTTCATCTTAGTATCACTTTTCCCGGACTGTTTATATTCTCTGTACGAAAGAGAAGCAGCAAAACATACTGTCAGATAAAATACGACTGTTTATTCTTTGTTCGGCTGTGCTTTGGTCACAGGGAGAAAAAGTCAACATTTATTAGGTTTTGATCTGTGAAACATTGATGAGTTTTGGCATGGCAGAATACAGTTTTAAAGGGTTTACAGACAAATTACTAACGGAGTAGTTTGTGGTCTGCTAATAATGGAGAAATTCCAATACAATTAGAAATGTAGCATTTGTTTAAATAATGCATTTTATTCCCCTTTCATGGTAGACACATAAACTAAGATGATCTTAGGTAACACATTATTATTAGTACCACTTTGTCCCTAACATCATCTTAAAAATATTTATAATTCAATACCTTCAACAAAATGTTAGCATTGATTGTATGTTTTGAGGACAACACTATTATATTTAGCTTAATATTTATAAGATTCAATACGTTATAGCCATTTTTGTGTTGGACAAGGTCGATTAGCTGTGGCAGCCATATTAAATTGGGATATCTCCAAAAGTTAATGAATTGTAGATGAACATCCAGTCATTACTTTGGAGAGTTTAGTGAAAATCCATCAACTGGTTCATCAGATATTCTGCTAACAAACGAACAATGTTCATCCAAAAATGAATGCCAAAGTTTTAGGCAAAGATGTCTTATAATGTGGTGTTTAAAGCAACCGTTACAGACAATGCTTGGCTCCAAACACACCACTGTTGATTAGAATTTCTGTAAAATACATTGAGTAATAACCACTTTTATTAGGTTAAGTTTGATCATTATTGGCTGCGGTGGCCATCTTAAATTGGACTGATGCTAAAGGTTAATCAGTTGATCAATTAATCAATATTTTTCCTGGAAGTTTCAAAAATCCTAACTGTACAGACAAATTAACCCACTCACACATGCACAGAGACACAGGCAAAACCATTACTATGTGGGGCCTTTAACTTTTTGGTTTTGATAAGTTGAGAATGTATTTAAGAGACATTACAAGATTTGGAGGGTTAAGGCAATTCAACCAACATCTACACAATAATTCAAACTAATGCCTTTATTTAAAATTGCCTGTGTTTTGTAGGCTCAAGGTAAATCTTTTAGAGTGTGATTTCTGAGCGTGGATCAAAACCATTCCCATGTCTTTGATGCAATCATAAAGATATTAATACTCCTAATGGAACAAAAATCCAATGATTTTTTTGAGCTTTTTTAACAATAGTGCAAAAAAGCTGAAATGTATTAAAGGCCAAGACACTATTTATCTTCAAGAATATGAATGATGTTTTGACGTGCAAAGAAAACTCCCAAAGGTAATCAGTTGTGAAAGTGAATCCAGTGATTAATTTCTGAGTTTCATTCAAATCCAACCAATGGTTCAAGAGATATTTTGCTAACAAACTGACAAACAAATACAAAAGCAAAAAAAAACTTTATTGTCTTAAGGAAATGCCAGTCAGTGCTTCAAAAATACACTCATGCTTTCAAACTGCAACTTGTACACACAATGTGACTAATTCATCGCCACCAGAGAGACACGGCTCTGCTCCTCCCCCATGCCCCTCATCATCATCATCATCATCACAAGAAAGTAGGGGAAAAAACAGAGGAGGTACAGACTAAACCAGATTTCAGAGCAATCTACGGCAGCCCGCTCCCCTCTTTCATCATGAATTACAGCTTCCTGACCCCAGAGTTTCCATGGCAACGGTGGTGCAGTGCCATTTTCATTTGCAGCTCATCGTCACCCCTGCCTTTTGACAGCTGCAAGTTTTCAGCTTAGGCATCCTGCAAACCTGCCACGCATGCACGTGCATCACATGCATGGAGGAAAACTTGGCAAAATAAAAACTTTAACTGTTTGTTGTATTTCATCCCTAATCTTAAACTGGCCTAATTCAAAACGCTGGATTGATGTTGGATAAAGAGACTGACAGGAAGCTGGAGAACAGCCAGTGTGTGTGTGTGTGTGTGTGTGTGTGTGTGTGTGTGTGTGTGTGTGTGTG